GATGGATAATGTTATCCTTCCCTAAGCTAAGAGGGCAACGATTTCTACATTGGTTGAGACATTTCCCAATGTTATTAAGTTCCAGTTCACTATAGTGCTAATTTTCCTGATGATGCCTACTTTGTTGTCTTCCTTTCCTTCTCTGTGTCCCTTTCCTGCTATTTCCCTAAAGATGTTTGCTGGACCAAACAGAAGACAGATTTGGGCTAGAATCCCAACACTGCCGTTTTGAACAAGTCATTTAATATCTCTGAGCTTTAGTTTTCTAATCTTTTGGACAGATATAATAATTCCTAAGTTGTCATGATCACTAATGAAATAATGAATCAGAATGCACGTGGTCATTGTACCTGTTCCACAAATTGGTGCATGTAAATGAGACAGAAAAATGTGCCACCCCACAGAGTTTGAAGTACAGATAGCTGTCAGTAAAATAGTAATCAGATGCTAACCTACTAACAGGAAAACCCTCGCCTGGGCTCCGTTCTTGCTAACTCCCATTACAACATGGTTTATTCCTAACTAGAACATGACTTTGAATTACAAGAATTATGAGTTGCTAATTCCTTCTCCCCTTTCTCTCCCTATATGCACACATTTAAACACACATCTAAATCTGATTTAACAAGCTTGTATTTTATTGAGTCATTTTTCATTTTACTGAATTATATAACCAAAGAGATTTAGTCTGGGTTTTCCTTAAATTTCATATTTTTATTCCTAGCCTAAAATACCTATTAACTTACCAAATGCTAATGTAAATCAAACTTTCCAGGAATGCATCTGTTGTAGAAAACAGGTCACACCTGTACAAATTGTGAATGCACAATATAATTAGTAAAACTGTATATGTTTTTGTACAAAGCCCTAGAGAATAAAATAATAAGAAATTCCTTTTTAGTGTTAAATGTGTATATTTGAGCAAAACACTAGGCCCATGGTCAGTATGTACTGATAAATACACATAATGAATTATCAGGAGAATTATCTACTTTTCTAGGTATGCTCATTCAGAGTCATTCTCTCTTTGAGATTGACTGATCACTTATTTATTTCACAAATCTCTGTTCATGTAATCTTAATCTATTTTAGTAACAACAGCATTATTGTGGGATCTCTTGTTTTTATCATGTGGCAGTGTTTGCAGCATATTTAGATTCTACTGCATGTTCTGTGTGCTTTTTCCTTCAAAATGTTCTTTCAAAAAAAAAAATGAGCAGAAGCAGACAGACTGTTCCAGGACATCCCTTCCTTTAGAGACATGAGTTCCTCCAGCTTAAAAAAAGACTGGATTCCAAATTGGTTAAATTGCTTCTTCTGTACAGTGAAGGGACATGTTGTCTGACTACAGTGGAACATGTGCTCTCATTTCTGACGAGCTGTTCTGTGAAGAAGTTTTATTTAGCCCGCATAGCCAATCCCCGGATTTGTGGGTGTTACCTCCTTTCCAAGTTACCAGTTTTTTTCATGATCATTATTACTTCTGCTCTGTCAGCTGTAACACAGTTTAGTAGCAACCCTTTTTAGAAAACAAGATGTTTCTCAAAATAGATGGAACAGTTGGCCAGACAGAAAAGAGATACAGTATCAACAAGAAGTAGGTCTGTTGTTCATCTGTGTGTTGCTCCCTGGACCACTCTGAGAGGCAATCTCACACATATGTCAAGGAACTGGCATCGAGTGAGGTTATCATCTCTTATCCTAACATAAATTTATACCCTATTTTATTTAGAATATCAATTGATATGAAAACTGATTTGGTCCAGAGAATACTTACATGTTTCATTTTTTTGTTCAAATTAAGACTCTTAAGCAAATGTACTAGCTAGCTTTTTTACTTTTTTCATAAGATAACTTGGAATTCCATAAGTAAATAAGTGCTTTAATTCAACTAAACATGAACAAATGGGTCCAGTTGTATGTATATTCATGTTCTGACTGTGTAGCAGAGCCAGCTGAGAAGAAGCAGGAGCTTTAGGGTGGATTTTTTTGTTTGTTTTTTGGTTTTTTTCCCTCTGTGCATCAACTAAAATAAAAATTAGGTCATGCAGTATTTACTCTCAGGGCAAAGTGACATTTTTCAGCTGCTTAGATTTCCCTATTATTAGCAGAAATGACCAATGTGGAACAAAGGGACAAGCCCCTTTAATCACTTATTTGTCATGCAGAGATGATATGACATTCCTTTCAGAGCACAACTGGGATGACTCCTGAAAAACAGACAGCCTATCAGTTACCCAACATCTCATTGTTGTCCATACTCAACAATGATCAATCAGATGCCCATGAGAGCGCTGTTCTGCAGCAGTCTTCCTCCTGAACAAGATGAAGAATACAGATGCCATCCCTGCTTCCTTATTTTTCCAATGTGTCTTGACTGCCTTCCCACAGAGCACAGAAGTCTAACAAAGTGTTCCAGTGCCCACCTGCTTTGCTTTTGTGATATCTCTTTCTTTTTAAATAAGTTGTCTTTATTTCTAAATCATTTTTTTCCTTAAGAGATTAAGCTAAGTTTTACTAAGTCATACTTTATTACCTCTTCCTCCTTTCCATCATTTAAAATTCTAGAACAGAGTTTTTAATCTAGGTCCTTGGACTAGGCATATTTGAAAGAGCTCTAGGAAGCCACAGGCCACTTGAAAATTTGTCCAGAATTGTGTGTGTGTGTGTGTGTGTGTGTCTCCCCAGGCACACATTGTTCTGAGAAAAGAAGTCACAGCTTTCTTTAGATTCACAACTCTCCAAATTTAAGAACTATTGTCTGCTGGATCTTCTTCCTGTGTCTATAAGTTAGGCAATGCTTAATTATATCACATCCTACTACAGTGTTCTACCCAATAAATTTTGTCACCACTTTTCTTTTTCCATTACCGTTTATTTCTGGCTTCATATTTTCTCTTACCTGTCTGAATTTTGTGATGGTATGTTCCAATTTAAGTAACAAAAGAAGGCAACAACAATGATAGTGTACCCCAAATCTCTGCCAGTAGCAGTGGTTGGCATTTTCTTCACATGGCATCTCATTTAATGCTGGTGCAACGTTACAAGTTAGAATCTCTATTTTTAAAAATGAGAAAACAAACTTAAAGAGGTTTGTGATTCCTACAACATATAGATAGCAGAGTATAGACATAAATCTGGGTTTGCATCTAGCCCTTATACCTTCCATGAAACTTTTCTAGAAAGGGTGAATAGCTGCAAACTATTAATGGGATCATCTTTTATAGCATAAAGTTCTTACATTTTATTATCATTTCCTATCATCAAAAATGTTCTTATTATATTCTGTGTATAAATCCAATACAAATTTACAATGTTCATGTGTTTTGTATCTGCATAAGTGTTATCATCTAATCTCACACTATCATAAAGATAAGAACCATTTATCTATTCATGAATGCATTTGCTTTTTAAAATAACATTTATTAAATTCTATTATTGTCGGGCTAGTTCTAGAGTATAGTGAGTTTAAGTCCTCCTTTCACATTGGCTTTTACTGGGGAGCTTTTAAACCATACCAATAACTGGACATGGCACCAGAAATTCTGACTTAATTAATTGAGGTGGAGCCTGGGCATTGTATTTTTAAAATTTCCATCTGCAGCCAGCTTGAGAACCACTGTTATGGAGTGGTACTTCTTCAAAGTGTGGTCTAGCAGCAGCAGCAGCAGTAGCATCATTTGGGAACTTGTTACAAAAGCAATTTTTTCAGCCTTTTCCCCAGCCTCCCCACTTACTATACCAGAAATGCCAGGGATGGGACCTGGCAATCTGTTTAACAAGCCCTCTAGATGTTTCTGATGCAAACAAAAGATTAGGAAACGCTTCTCCAGAGACAGGGTGAACTGGGCACAGTACTCACCACTGAGCATTTCTCCTGGGTCTCAGGGAACACTCAGCTGCTTCAAATTTGCATTTTAATTACCCAGCACAGTTCCATAGTCTAAAACTTTAAAGTATTATTACTGCTTAAAAAATGTTATGTTTTTCCATCTCTTCCTTGACAGTCATTTAGTGAAATGTTTATAAGAAAGTGGTGGTTTGTGAATAATATCCATTAACCAGTGTTATGAACCTTACTTCCATATTACATAGAGAGACACAGAGAAGTATAAAATATTATGATTATAAAATATAAAATCTTAAAAGGCAAATATTTTCAATAAAGGATTTTAATGTAAGTCATTGTGTTGTGTTAGCATTTTAGATAATGCTGTTAATATTATATTGACTATTCTCTCATCTTTGTTAATATATATTTTAATAAATTATCACAATATAATTGATATACAATAGACATTTAAAGCATTTAACCTGGTAAAATTTGACACATGTACACAAGTGTAAAACGACTGAAGTGGGCATCAAGTTCCATTACAGGTATCCGTTACTTAGGCAAGTTTCCTCCCAACCAGAAATGCAAAATGAGGTTGCAGAGACTCTTCCCGAATGAGGAAACATAAGCTGGGGTTCATAAAGCCACTAAATATCAGTCCAAATGAATGGGGAAAATGGGGAAGGGTCTTAGAGAACAGAAACAAAGCCCACCTCACCCTGTGAACTTTAGACTCTCATGGTTCCTGTTATTTATCACCATGTAGATTTTAAAATAGGCAACCCCTTTATTTCTTAAATTTTCCATTGAGAGGAGCTTAATGGGGCTAGTGAAATTCACAGTACCATTGCAGAGAGTAGCCGTCCCTAATTCAAGCTCTGCAGGTAGTTTCTTGCTATAAGGTAACCCGTTTTGCTTTGGCCACCAGTCCATTCTCAAATGTGTATTTCTCTGCAGTGTGTATTATACAGAACAGTGTGCATAAAAATAATGTCTTTGTTTTTCATAGCAATAAAATCTGATACCTTGCCTTAATTTCCTTTTAACTTTCTTTCATGTTTTCCTAGAGCAAATTATTCTGTCCCTGTTTATCATTACACAGACATTGGCTAATGCCAAGATTTACTTTTCAATCTGAAATTTTTTATTCTTTTCCTTATTGCAGGTTGGCTCCACGAGTTGGGAAAGAGACTGGAATCTCCCTACTATGGCAACAATACCTTGGGGGGCCCGTCCATCCGAAGTGCCTATATCGCCGCTCTGTACTTCACTCTTAGCAGCCTCACCAGCGTGGGGTTTGGGAACGTCTCTGCTAACACAGATGCAGAGAAGATCTTCTCCATCTGCACCATGCTGATTGGTGGTAAGGGAACTCCTTCTTTTAGACCAAGAAAAGGAATGTGTGTCTGCCAAACATTCTGTTTGCGCTGTCCTGAAACACAATGGAGAAAAATTGGTCAAATTTGAAAGATTCTAAAAGCACTAATTAGGAAATCAGTGACAAACCTTATAATGCACATATAAATTAACAATGAAAGCCTGTGATGTTAATGAATTTCATTTTCTGGACAGATGAATAAGCACCTGATGGTTGATTTTGAAAGGTCAAGCACAGTGTTTTCTTAACATTCTGTTTACCTCCTGTGTTTGGGAGTTACATGAGTCTGAATTTGCCGGGGTATATTTGAAACTTTATTCTGTGGTCCCAAACAGATCAATGTTTTCAAATTTTGTTAATACTAATGTAGTAAGTTAAGAATGTTTGCTAGCTCATTTGATTAAAAATAAAAACCAATTTTTCACCAATTATAATAATATTATTGCACCAATGTAATAATAAGTAGTTAAAATTTATTAATCACTTCTATGTTCCATTCTCTGAGCTAAATGCTTTAGTGCAATATGATAAGCAATTCTTAAGGTAAATTTTGGGGTTTGACATTATTATCCTATTTAATAAAAAACAAGTATTACTGTTTTCTCTAAGCCTCAGACCACTCTTTTGTACTCTTCTTTGCCAGCTAACTTTATTGACTTCTGCCAATACATGGCACCAGAGGGAGACTGGCAGGCTGGAGGAGGGGAGAAGGCAGGCTGCTTCTGCTGTCCAGGCTTTGCAACTGTGGAGGCAGCCCGCCTCAGTGGCTTTTAGCTCTCAGACTCTTAGGCACTCCTAGAGCCAGCCTCCTTGGGCCTCCTCAGAAATCCCAGCATCAACTGGGGGTACCAGCACCCCAAAGTTAGAGTCATGGCTTCTTGAGGCTCTAACTTCTTCCCTTTCTAGATCCAGCTCTTAGGTTAGTTGCACCTCTTCATTTATTATGTCTGCTGTACCTTTATGCTCCCTTTTGGCTCATTCAGCCCTCCAATGCCAGGGAAACAACTCTTTATAAAAATGTCCTCTACTGAAATACTTAGCATGATTTCTCTTTTCTGAACCTCCTAACCAATGTAGGATAGATAGTAGTATTATCCACCTTTTTCAAATGACTAGTCTAAAGCTTTGGAAATTAAAGTAACTTCCCCAACACCACACAACCATTAAGAGGCAACATTTGAACCCTGTTGAATGCATCTCTCTTTAAAACATAGAAGGAAATTTTGCTGAATAATAAGACTGCTGTTAAGGAACAGGAGTGAACATGAACAATTACCTGGATTAAACATGGCTTGTAGGCCAGAATTTTTGTTAGTATTTTCTGACCCAAACTATTGCTTCAGAAGACTGTGCCACATTCTCTAATTGGCTTTCATTCCAGATATCAGATAGAGTTTTGAACCTTATAGTAGAAAATGTGATATTGAGCAGTATGGGGGACTCAAGAGATTCATCATTTAGCACACAGTGAAATCAAAGTGTAAAACCAAACCTGCCCTCAAGGAGCTGATAAGCCGGTTTGGAGGAGATAGGATGAAACATCGGGAAAGAATTTGGAGGATACTGGACAGTAGATAATAAGTGCCAAATCAGGAAGTTCAGAAGCAGTGAGTAGGAGAGCCAGGATAGGGAGCATTTCTTGGAAAGGCAGTGTTCGCGGCAGAGTTGCTGAAGTAGCATGCTGGGACTGCAGCAATCTAACAGGCTCTTGGCTGATGCTAAGCAGTCACAGCCTAGGGAGCAGAGAACAAGAATTCTTATTTTCTGAAGAGCTAACTGTGCCAGACCCTGTGGTGGCTATTTCATCTCCAGTGTTATGACTTATATAATTTCCACTCTCCCTTGATGGCCCATCTTTCTGCCTAGCAAAATGACAAGCATTTTGCAAATAAACACCATCTATACTTATTTAATATTGGCCCATGTTTCTTCTACTCCTGATGGAAATGTTGGAAAAGGCTCAAAGGCTCAAGGCTTAAGCCTCCTAATTTAATATTTGAAAAATCTGTTAAATGGATGAGCTTATTCTCTAGTGATCCGCCTACTACATTGTGAGTGCTCCTCAATCAGAAATTGTTAAAGCATAAGCTATTTCCTGCTGTTCACTCAAGGTAGGAGCTCCACCAGTCACAAGGCCCAAAGGCACAGGAAATAATCTGATAATGTCTCATTGTCAGTTCTTTGTTAAATGTTTATTGAGCAAATTCCCTGGGATAAAATCCTGGTACAGTGCTCATGGATAAGTGGTATTAAAACTTTAGGTGACTTCACCAGCACTCTGCTTTTGAATGTTACATGGCATCTAAGAGACTTGACTTTACTGGTTAAAACTCTCTAAATTTGCATTTAGGCTAAGACAAATGATGCCTGCATTTTAGTATTTCCTCATTCACTAATTACTTGTGTAACATGGAGAACTAATCATAAAAGCACATGATATTGAGCACTTTGTTCATTTAATTCTCATAATATTATAAGATGGAAATTATTAATACCTAACCTAGACATAAGACCCCAGAGGTTTAGTGAGTTTAAATGTCAGGACTCCCTGGCAAAGTTATTGTAAAATATCCATTTCATTATATACTAGAAATTAATTTTATTTATTTAATATTTATAAATATACACAAATAATTTATTTTTTAAAAGAAAACAAATTTAAACATATGTTACTATGGACTTAAGTCTAGGATATCGCATTAAGAATCCCCACACAAGGCTGATGAAGTTGCTTATGGTAAAAATGCAATAGCTACTACAAATAGGCAGTAGCAATATTATCTGTCAAAATCCCAGATAGTTAATTAGGGCAAAGGTACATAGAAGCTAGGTGAAGAAAAATGAGCAGGGAAAAAAAATGGACCAATCTGGGAAGACTCTGAGAGCCTGAAGAATTTCCTCAGGAGTTCCACAGTTTTATTTATCCTTCATATATATTAAACTTCCACTTGAAGATACTATTTAAGCTCCCATATAAGCATCTGTAATTATGGACTGTGAAACCACTGATATGTGGAATGAATATTTCAAACTGTAAAAGAGATTAAGCAAAAATAATTTTAAAATTCTCACCTAGAAAACTGTATATGGACTTTGAGAACATGCATAACAAAAAAGAATTCTAAAAGCTTCAGACAACAATTAGAATTAATAAGTAAATTTAGTAAGTTAATATATATAAGATCCATATGTAAAAATCAATTTTATGCATGTAGACTGGTGACAACTAATTAGAAAAAATGAAATGTAAAAAAGCAATTGCAAAAGCATCCAATATGGACAAATAAATTTAATTAGTACAGTACAACACTTCTACACAGAAAACTGCAAAAAAAAAAAAAACAGGGAGAAAATTTACAATGTTTTTTAAATAATGGAAAGATATACAATGGTAATGGTTGGTGATGATGGACTTGGTATTGTAATGATATAAGTTTTGCCCAAACTAATGAAAAATTCAATGTAATCCCAATAGATTTGTGTTTGGGTGCACGTGAGTTATGTGTGTTTGAAAACTGACGAGCTGTTTGCAAAAGCTAGTGCAAATGAAAAGAGCTAAAACTAATAGAAATAACCATGAAAAACAAAGAAAAAAAGATTTGCACTACAAATATCAAGATGTATTAGAAAGTAATGGCAGTTACAGAAATGTGGTGTTGGCTGCAGAATAGATGGATAGGTCAAAAAAATGGACTAGAGTTCAGGAACGCCCACACATTTACAGCCACTTTATTTATGACATGGGTGGTACTGCAGTGCAAAGGGAGAACTGGTAGCAGTTTTAAATTATTGAAACTGGCAGCAGTTTCAATAAATGTTGCTGGGTCAAACATGTATCCATGAGTTGAAAAACAATCTTGATGCCTCTTACAACTGTACAAATTAGTTCTGAATGAATTCTGATATAAACATGAAAAATAGAATAATAAAGCTGCCCAAAGGGGAATTCAAGAGCATGTTGTCATGACCTTAGATTTAGCAAAAATTTTCTAAATATGAAATGAGTTCCCTAAAAGAATGATAAATCAAACTGCAGAACTTCTCTTTATCAAAAGACAGAGCAAGAAGAGCTGAGCTACAAGGTAGGAGAAAATAGTCACAAACATTTATCTGACAAAGAACTCTTATATATTATGTTTAAAGAACTTATATAAATTCACACACACAACTTTAAAAGTTCACAGAAACTTGAAAAATCACTTCAAAAGTAAGGGTTTTTTTTTTCAGACTTTTTAGAATATTTTTTATTTGCTCTAATTAGTTATCCATGATAGCAGAATGCATTTCGATTCATTGTACACAAACAGAGCACACATTTTCATTTCTCTGGTTGTACGTGATGTAGCATTGCACCACATGTGCCGTCATACATGTGCCTAGGGTAATGATATCCATCCCATTACACCATCTTTCCTACTCCCATGCCCCTTCCACTCCTCCTTCCCCTTTACCCAATCAAAGTCCTTCCATTCTCCTCATGCCCGTCCCTATTATAGGTCCACATTCACTTAACAGAGAGAACATTTGGCCTTTGGGTTTTTGGCATTGGCTTACTTCACTTAGCATGATATTCTCCAACTCCCTCCATTTACCTGCAAATGCCATAATTTTATTCTCTTTTAATGCTGAGTAATATTCCATCATGTATATGTACCACAGTTTCTTTATCCATTCCTCTATTGAAGGGCATCTAGTTTGCTTCCACAGCTTAGCAATTGTGAATTGTGCTGCTATAAACATTGAAGTGGCTGTGTTACTGTAGTATGCTGTTTTTAAGTCTTTAGGGTATAGACTAAGGATTGGGATATCTGGGTCAAATGGTGGCTCCATTCCAAGTTTTCTAAGGAATCTCCATACTGCTTTCCAGATTGGTTGCACCAATTTGCAGTCCTACCAGCAATGTATGAGTGTACTTTTTCCTGACATCCTCACCAATACTTATTGTTGCTTGTATTCTTGATATTTGCTTTTGAATGTTACATAGC